GTGCCCGGGCCAGGCGCGGGGGCCTCGCCGCGGCGCGCGGCGTCGCCGCGGGACGGCAGGCGGGCTGGCGGCGGCGGCGCAACAGCAAGCCTCCCGTCTCTCGTCAGCCGTCTACATGCACACACGCCATGCAGCCGCAGTCAACCAGGAGCACGCCGTCGTTTGACCGCGGTCAACGCCCCTGCGCCCACCTTCAAGATCATCGTGTCCGCCTCGTCCACCACGACCCACTTCACATCCCCCAGGTGCACCGCCCCCTCCTCGTTGTGCTGCAGCAGCCGGCCCGGCGTCGCAAACACGATGTCGAGCGGCGCGGCGAGCGCGGCCTTCTGGTCCGACTTTGACCCGGATGAGGAAAGCAGGGCGCTCGAAAACTTGGCGGAGTGCGACAGGGACTTGGCCACCTTTTGGATTGGAGGGGGGGGGCAGGGGCCTGGGGCGTCGCGAGCGGAAGAGGGGGCTCTCAGGGGGAAGGGCGCAGCCGCGCAGCGTGCGCCGGCCTGCGCGGCCGCGGCTGCCCTCGGGGCGTCGGACGAGGAGCTTGTTGGCCGGCGATTCAATGGTGGGTGCTTCTGCCGTGCGCGGTACCCGGTCGGCAGGCCCTCCTGTGCGCCGGCACCGGCCTGCAGCCGCACGTCGCCTCGCCGCGCCGCGCCGCCCCGGGGGTGGCTGGCGAGTGCGCCGCGGCGAGAACGCTGCCCTCACTCACTTGCTCCCGCTGCTGACTGCAAAAAGTCGCCACGATATGTATATACGAATCGTATGTGATTGTCAAAACACACACATACATGTACATGTGTGTATAAGCAAACATATGAAATACTTATGCATACATAGCCCGCTTTTCTGCCGCCCCTCACCCGTGTCAGCTGCTCCACCAGCTCTGTGGTGGGCCCCAGCACCAGCATCCTCGGCCGCCGTGGCCGCCGCGCATCGCCCTCCGCCTCGGCCCGCTTCAGCTGCTCAATCTGGGGGCGGCGGCGCGGGGCGGGGGAGCGGGCGCCTGCATGTCGACGGGTCGTCGCGCCGGCGAGACGCTGGGGCGCAGGCGAGAGGCGGAGCGACCGCACGGTGCACAGCGCGCCGGCCGCACGCGCCGATCCATCATCCCTCCCCCGCCCCGCGTGGCATAAACGGCCGCAGCGGCAGCTGAGGGCGCGCACACCATGGGGAGCAGGTAGGCCAACGTCTTGCCCGACCCCGTGTGTGAAGCTACCAGGAAGTCGCCGCCGCCGAGGATGGCGGGCACAGACATTGCCTGTGTGCAAAGGCGGGGCGCGGGGCGCAGCCGCCTGTTGTTGACCAGCGTGCATGGGCATGCTGGGGCATGGTGCGGCTCTGGCGCCATGAGGGGATGCTGCTCTGGCTCTCTGGCATGACTGCACGTACGAACCTAGGACCGATGACGCCCGGTCGCTCGCAGCACTCGCACTTTTCGACGTGCTGTTCGGTGCGCGCGGCCGCGTAGGTCGCCCCACTGGCGTATGAACCTACCTGAATCTCCGTGGGCTGCGAGATGTTGTTGCTCGCCAGGCCGGCCTGCAGGCCGTCCCCCAGGCCGAGCTCTGCAAAGTTGGCGGCCCGAGCAACGGGCTCGGCGGCGGCAGCCGCGCGCACCAAGACGGCGCGCAGCGCCGGGGTCACGCCGCTCGCGGCGCGGCTTGCCAGGTCAATCGTCCACGGCCTGAGGAGCCTAACGGCGGCCTGGACGCGGCCATAAGGGCACAAGCGCGAGGCTTGCTGGAGGCCCAGCGCGCCTCTAGACAATATCATGGCTGCTTCGATGTGCGGTCAATACGAAAGATGAAGTGTGCTGCAAATGGTGCAATACTTGCCTGGGCTCGGCGCTGATTGGACCGCCTGAATCACCCAGGAACAGATCGATTCAAAACATTTCGTTGCCTTCTTCTTTGTAACTACTGGATTGTATCCTTACATTGCTTCAACATAAAAGGATCACAAGTCTGCCCCCAAGCGCTCCGAAGCGAATAAATCTTGACGGCTCGCTCGCCGTGCGTCTTTGCCAGGCAGTGCACTTGGAAATAGTAGATAACTCCAAGAGAAATCAATCGGGATGGCGGGGCCGGAGGCGAAGGCCAAAGACAAGAAGAAGTGAGTGCGGCCGCGGGCCAGCTCGGTGCTCAGGAGCCTGGTGCCCGTGTCAGCGTGCGTGATGGGGCCTAGAGGGTACGGATTGCCTTATGAAGCAGTGCTGCATGCCTCATCACAGCGAGCACGCCTGCGCATTGATGCGCGCGGCGCGGTGCTCTGCTGTGCTGCCCGCCATGGCGCTCCCCAGCTGCTGCAAGCCGAGGGGGTTGTTGACGGTGTGCTACACAGCTGGCCCGATCGGATTGCCAGGGCGCAGCTTAACGCTGCGCACAGCCCATGCGCATGGTGGCCACCGCACCGGGCAGAGCTTCCAGCAATCGCCACAGTGTCGGCAGCATGCAGCTCTTTGCCGACGCGCCATACCCACATCTCGACTCGCGCGACCGCGCGCGACCATGCGCAGGGCGGATGGGGAGGTGAAGAAGTCCTCTTCCTCCAAGGACAAGGAGAAGAAGGAGAAGAAGGAGGGAGATGAGAAGCACAAGCACAAGGACAAGGATGGGGGGGACCACAAGGAGAAAAAGCACAAGGACAAGGAGGGCGGCGATAAGAAGGACAAGAAAGAGAAGGCCGGGGCTAGCGGCAGCAGCAGCAAGAAGGACAAGGCCGGCGCCGCCGCCGCCCCCGCGGCGCCCGCGCGCCGCGTGCCGCCGCAGCTGATCCCGAAGAAGGGCGCGCCGCCGCCGGGGGACTACCTGGCGGGGATCGACCTGCCGAGCAGCGACAGCGAGGAGGAGGAGCGCGAGGAGGTGCAGCGGGAGGAGAAGGGGCCGCTGACGATGCAGGTGCTCGGGGCGTTTGGGCCGGAGCTGGGCAGGGGCCAAAGGGCGCTTTGTCATTGCGTGGTACTGGGGGTCGCCTGTGGCAGCATGGGGCGGTGGCCGGGCGGCGGGTCATGGCCGCCGCTAGCATGGGAACCGTGGCAGACGGGGCGGCGGCCCCTAAGCTCAGGGCTCCCGGGCCCGCGCCCACGGGGCGTGCGCGCACGCCGCTGGCGCCCGCCCCCGGCGCCGCCGCCGGCCGCCCCGCCTCGGACCGCGCCCACGCCAACGCGGCGGCGCGCTCGACACGCCGTGCCCGCGCCGGTGCAGGTGAATGCGCGCGAGGCCAAGAAGCTGGCGGACAAGGAGCGCATGCTGCTTGAGAAGGCGCACCGCATGCGCGAGGACGCCATGCGTGAGGACGACAACGTGTTTGACGTGTCATTTGAGGGCATGGGCAATGAGGACGCCACCGTGTCGGCGACAGACATCAAGGTGCGAGGGTGTGGCCGGCAGTTTGTGTTCGTGTGTGGGTGGGTGGGGGCGTGTCAGTGTGTGTATGTGTGTGGGAGGGGGGGAAACGTGTCTGTATGTGTGTGTATGTGTTTCTGTGAAAGTCAGTGTTGTGTGTGTGGGCGTGTGAGAGGACGTGCGATGCTACAGGTGCGCGTGGGTGTGGTTGTGAGCACCTGTGAATGGGGGTGTATTGTACAACTGCTGCGTCGAGAGGGGAGCAGCGCAGGCTGCCGTGCACCCATGGCCCATGCGCCACACCCTTGTAGGTCGAGCATGCGCCTGTGACCCCATCTTGAGCCTCCCGCGCTGCCAAATCGTTTCCCTGCCCTCAAACAGGTCCACAACCTGACTGTGCGCGCCAAGGGGAAGCTGCTGCTTGAGAACACCGCCCTCACCATCACGGCAGGCAAGGGTGGCGGCTGCGCGGCCGACAGGGGCGATGTGGGGCGCGGCTGTGATTTCGGGGCCCTACTAAGGCCTTCTCGCCCTTTCGACCTGCCACACCTCCCCTCGTTTGGGCCCGGAAACCTTCTGATGGAAAAGCCAACCGGCGGCCCGGCATCCTCTGCCATTTGTCCGCCCACCCAGGGCGCCGCTACGGCCTGGCCGGGCCCAACGGCCGCGGCAAGTCGACGCTGCTGAAGCTGATGGCGCGGCGCCAGATCCCTGTGCCCCCTGACGTGGATGTTCTGCTGGTGGAGCAGGTGCGGGGGTGCGTGGCGAGGGGCCACGCGCATGCAGTCGCATGGAGCAGTCGCATGGAGCGGATACGCCCGCGCTTGAGTGCATGCAACCACACAGCGTCCTGTGGTTTTTGGCCACTTGGGTCCACTGTGTTGTCATCAGTGCCATCCCCGCCGTTCTCATCGGCCGTCTGGCCGAAATCAACACTGATTGCGGTTGCACGAGGGCATACACGACCCGGGGGCCGTCGGAGGGTAGCTTAGCCCCCTGTAGACTTGCTTTCAAGACTGGCGCCCCCACCGCCCGCCGCGCGGCCGCGCAGGAGGTGGTGGGCAGCGAGCAGAGCGCGCTGCAGGCGGTCGTGGCGGCGGACGTGGAACTCGTGCAGCTGCGGTGGGTGGGGGAGCGGGGCCTGAAAGCTGTGTTGGTGTCTCTCATATGTGGGCAGGGCGTCAAAGCATCCCAAGTTTGAGACCCCGAGTTTGGACTTGAAGCGGAGGATCCCGCACCGGCGGAGAGGGGCAGTGGACGGAGGGCAGCGGGGGAAAGGTGCTGGCGCTGCTGGTGCACACACACGCACGCACACACGCACACGGTCATCCACACACTCACACTTGCACGTCCGCACACCCACACAGGCTGGAGGAGGCGCAGCTGACGGAGGAGCTCTCGGCGGACACCCACGAGCCTGGCTTTGACGCCGACGCCGCGTCCCACCGCCTGAACGAGGTGTACGAGGCCATGGCGGAGCGCGGGGCCGCGACAGCCGAGAGCCGCGCGTCCAAGATCCTTCACGGCCTGGGGTTCACCCCCGTGATGCAGGTGGGGTTTTGGACGCGGGGCGGGGAACGTGCGAGGGGATGCGCTGATTTTGGTCCCGCTCTCGGGCGGGGCGGCGGGTGGGAGGGGCAGGGGTGTGCTCAATGGGTCCCCCTCTCTTTGAGGGATGGGGAAGGGGATCCCCCTGCCACCAGGGGAAAAGGGAGGGGAAGGGGGGCTCCCTGGGCTGGGCCCGTGCGGAGCCCAGCCCTGGGGAGCCCGGTGTCCCCGGCTGTGCGCGCCGGTGTGGTGGCTCGTGGGGCCGCCTGCTGTGCGAGCACTCAGGCTGGTGCCATCTGGCTTTGCTCTGCAGCCTTGGGTGAGTGCCTGCCGGCTCTGCAGCGCGCTCGAGGCACGCGCAAACGGCAATAGCAGGCAAGATGCATCAAGTTGTGTTCTTGTTTGTGAC